TGTACTTTGATAGGAGAGGAGAATTGCGTTTCATTTCAATTTTTCAATCGAGTTAATTTTAATTTTTTTTTGTTACTTCTTCGTCGATTCCAAATTAAATAATGATTAAAGCGGTTAACATTTTCTTTTTTGCACACTTCTTTTTGGGGAAAACTAAAGAATTATACAAAGCCACACAACCATGAGAAACAACACTTAAGAAATGTTACATATTTTTGTTTTTTTTTTTTTAATTCCCGCAATATATTTCATATATTCCGATGGAAATTGTTAAATTTAAAGCCCGAAATGAAGACCTAAAGATCACTAACTCCTAAAGTTTATATTTATATGTATATAAAAGAAATTCTTACGTAATGTTGTTACAAATTATTTTTTTTTACTTCTTTTCTCGCGATTTTCGTCCAAAAAAAATGTCCATTTGTTGCCAATTTTTTTTTTACAAATAAAACAAACAAATTACGCAATATCACCGTTCAGTTCCAATAATAATATAGTTTTTCTTTTCTTATATCAATCAATCAATCAATAATCATAATAATAATAATAGTTAAGTCAATAATTTATCAAATTTGGTATATATATATATAATATTAATAATATATAATTTTTATTCAATTACAAAAAATGCCTAATCCTAAATTTTCGATCACAAGGTTTTCCTTTCCCAATTCTCCTGTTCTTACGTTTAATTACTTTGCCTCGTCCTTTCTATTATTTCTCTTCCTTTTCGCCTTCCTTCCTTATTTATTTTTTTCATTTAATTTTTGCAACGTCCAAAATTTTGTATTCACTTTGAGCCAATTTTATAAAAAATATATTCACATCACAATGGTTTTTTTTCATCATCATCAATCTTCATCAACTTCTTCTTTAAAAAATCGCGACGATTTCGTTTCGATAATCGAATTTCTCCAAAATAAATTTTGTATACACACCACTCATGGTTGCTGCGGGTAAATTCACTTTCAATCAAAAAGTTAAAAACGCGTACAAAAAAAAATTATTAAAACTATCAGCGAGACGCAAGCGAGAAAATATTAGGTTTATAAACATAAAAGGTAATAATTACGTTTAATACAACGTTTTCGAATAAAATAAACTTATTTTCACAATCTCTTCTTACCCTGATTGCGCCTTTTTTTTTTCGTCATCTTCTAATTTCTTATTTTTCGTTTCCTCCTAGGTATTGTGCAACGACAGCCTTTGTTGTTGTTCTTGTGTGTGTTTTCTTCCGCACGATGAAATAAATTGGTGTTAACTCTTTTCATTATCCCGACGATTACGACTTGGATCTGTTAAAGTGCCCAAGACCTCAACCCTACGAACACGCGCCAACGTCCAACGTTTCTAACTAGTCTCCCTTGTAAATTAGTTAAGAGAATCGATCGGTAGTAGTAGTAGTCTTAGCACTAGCATCTGATGTACCTGAGTATCATATCACTGAGCGAAGCCGCAGCTTCGAGACTAATTCATTTATTTAAGTAATTATAGATAGAAACAACAACGCGAAAAGAAAACTGTTTTATTTTTTTTCATTTTTGTGGCAGTGAATGTTTCATTACACCTTCGCCCGCACGAGCAATCGATCCGAACTCCTTAAGCCTAAATAATAATTCTAAATTTTTGGTTTCGATCACTCTTCACGACGCTTCGATCCTCAAAATAAGAGAAAAAAACAAACATAAACAACTCAACTAGATTATTTCATATTTAACGTAAATTTCCATAAGTTCATATTTTTATCGTGTAAATTTCGTGAGGAAACAAATTAACAATAGATTTTTCTTTTCTTTTTTCGAGGATCGAAGTAATTTGTGTTTTTTTTGTTTTCTTGGATTCGAATCGAGTGGTCGTTGCGGACGCTCAAGATCCGGTGGATGCGCCGGGTCACTAAACGAATTTTAAAGCTTTTTCGTATACAAAAAAAAATCTTTGGCACTAATTGTTAATCTCGTGTTTCTCCATTTCCGCGTTCGATTGCTTGATTCAATAACAGTTTTCTTCGGCGATGGATTTTTATTTATTTTTTTTAAATTAATTACGTTCTGAGGTATTGATTGGGTCGGCGCAAAACGCACTTTAGGCAGTAGTGGTTATGATTACAGTGTGTGCTTTTTTGTTTTTTGTTTTTTTTTTGAGGTACATTCGGTTTTCAGCAACAACAACAACAACAAAAAAAACTTACTCCTTCGTGTTTGCTACATCTCGGCGGGCTGGGTTGAAGATTAGGCCGATTCTGTCGTAATCGTTGGATATTTTTTTTTTCATTTTGTAAGATCTGCGGTAATCATTGATTATCAATAATAACGGAACGAAACGAAAAGACATTTGCAAATGGAAATTTTTGGTAGTATGATCAAAAAATAAAAAAATAAACGGTGATTGAATCATCGTAGTAATGAGTCGAGCTCTGGCAGCCACCGTTTTGGTCCTCGCACCAGCTGGGGGTGCCCGCGCCTCTTCTCACAACACACCTAATTATTACACAAGTAAACTACCATTTCGTTAGTTAATTCGTATCCTTACAAAAAAAAAAAAAAACAAAAAAAAAATCGAAAAAAACCAATTCATTGACGAAAATTTACGTTTCCCT